CCAAATCTTTGGAAGCACAGCCAAGGAACGATAGAATTGGAGGCAGTCTCCGGGCTTCTTCTTGGCTTCTGCGACGCTGTTGTGGAGGCCCACCGTCCAATCTGATTCGGACAGACCAGGCAAAGCAACGAACTGTTTGTGGTGGACCCTGGTGCGTATGAGACTCAACCGCCAGTTGATGGTCCATGGTCCTGTCCTTGCCTCTGACTGAGGATCGCGCATGATGGTCATGATCGTGTCGCTTGCTAGGGTGTGTTGTCAGCATCGGCACCAGCACTAGTTTCCTAACGCCATCACTGTTTTCGACATTCGAGCTGCAGTTGCGCGCTCGGAATATCTGTGACGCAGCTTCAAGCATGAAGTTACCGAAGAAAAGCTGATTCCGCCAGAACTCAGAAGCATCGCATCGTGAGAACACGGTTTCCTGAACAGAGTTGAAGGTGGAGGCGGAGACGCTGCAGCTCGCCGAGGACTCCCGACAGCTGTCGACGATGCTTCTTCATGGGCGGCTGTGGCAGCAGTTTGTCGTGTGTAGAACGTAGGTTCCGGATCGAGGCGGAAGGGTCTAGGAGCTGGTTTCACATGATGATTGTAACGCCCGCACACAGCATGGCAAATGCATCAGAGTCGAGTGAGCCGATGGCTTGAAATGAACTGACAGGCAGCGGCTAGACTCGGGTGGTTTGGCCGGCAGGAATTTCCTCGAGTTCTTTTCTGAGGAGGAGCACGGGGTGTGGTGGGATCACAGTGTCTCACTGGCTTGAGCATGTGTAGTCCCCGTACTGCAGAAGCCCACTCATTTCCGGCGGTGTCTCCCGGGAGAGTCCTGAAAAGTGGCAGATCACAACCTTCACATCGAAAGCAATACCTTCGCAACGAGTCTTCCAGTGACGGAGAGATGTTTTGCACGTATTGTAAAGGTCATCATCTGAAACAAAACCCTCAACCCGGTACTCGAGGTCATAACTCCTTTTACGAAGGCTTGGTTCTGCATGTGGTTGTAGCTAGCAGCTAGGTTCTATACATCCCACTGGAATTCAACATGCCCCTCTCTGTAATTAGTTCGCAGTGCAGGACCGCGACCGCATCAAGGACTCCCTGGGCACTGGCGGATCGCAGACACTGGCCATCAATGCCCGAATGCTGGACTCCCTCGGCACCGGCTCCCGCATGAAGAGGGGTAGGACAGGCTTCCGGGTCGGAGGACGTAATTTATCAGGACCAGCCGCTTGTAGTTTGGGTGGATCAGACCGATCAGACTGGCGGTTCATGTTCTCAATTAACTTAGATGACAGATGCTGATGCTTCGACTCCGGTACCCGCCCCGATGCAGGCAGCCACGTGAAGGTAGAGCTGCTGCACATTCAATTTCGCAACCCCGACGGCCATTTGCGCCGTCTTATTGGCATGCGCGAGTTCCAGGACAGTGCTGCAGAGCAGACATGCAACCGAAGTACTAGTAACACAACAAAGCAGCAGCTTAGTAGTCGGCATCGTAGTAGTGGTGGCAGCAGCAGCAGCAGGAGGAGGAGGAGGAGGAGGAGGAGTAGTAGTGGTAGTAGTGGTAGTAGTGGTAGTAGTGGTAGTAGTGGTAGTAGTGGTAGTAGTGGTAGTAGTGGTAGTAGTAGTAGTAGTAGTAGTAGTAGTAGTAGTAGTAGTAGTAGTAGTAGTAGTGGTACTACTAGTAGTTATTACATTACCGCTATGTCTTGCAGTGTTTGGACAGTTACTATCATACTATTATGTGTCTGGTTATTGTGCTTCTCATCCTCGTTATTGCTCTTCGTATGACATTAATCTCGCTTTTGTTCTTGCCATTGTCATGGAATTGGTATCAATATTTCGATTTCATGTTGAACCGCCTTAGGTTTTCGTATTGTTCTTACTAGTAGTTGCTGTTGGTGGTGATGGTGGTGGGAGGAGGAGGAGATGGCTGAGGCGGAGGAATGGAGGAGAAGCAAGTGCAGCAGTAGCTCCAGCAGCACCAGTGCAAACCTATTCAACTGTTGTTCTTCCTGGCAGATTACCTGCTTAAGGTGTGCTGCAAGGCCATACCCCTTTTCCTAACCAAGAGGCTTCAGTCAAGCAAGCCGGAAAACTGAGCCCGTGATGATTTTGTCAGAATGTCAGGATTTGGCTTCTGTGGCGCCGGCCCTATCGTCCCAACAGATCCTGAGAAGTGAGGAAAGCCCGGCAGCAGCACCGGCTGCTCAGGAAGAGGTGTGACTGAAGGGGTTCAGTGGGAAGACAAGGGTAGGATCGTAGAAGAAGCAGTCGAGGTTGCAGCATTTTTTGATGTGGGGCCAACTGCAAGCTGCTAGAGATAGGGGGATCAGCGCGGCTAGGATCGTCAGGGCCCAAGAGAGGGACACTGTGGCAACGATATTTATTGGGCCTTGGGGTCCTCTTCACCGTAGGAGTTTGGATTGCAGGTGTCCGTCATGTTCGACGCCAACACATTCGACATCCTCAGCGTGTCGAAGGGCTTTCAAGCCTTGTGTACCTCGGTCGGGCAGGCCGGGCTGGTACCTGGAGGATATGTGGGAAGGAGCTATACATGGGAAAAGTCTCCGGAATATGTGGCCTTCGCTGTTGCAGACTTAGATTACCGTACTCTTTCATCCACCACCTAAACCCTAAACCCTAAGCCCTTACCCTTGCTTAAACGGCTCACACTGCCGCGCTTCCCGGGCAAGGCCATGGACTTCGAGGGGCTGAGCGTCTTCGACCTCTCCAAGGGGACCGGTCCGAAGTCCTTCAGCAGGCCGCAGCATCATACTTTTTTTTTTTTTGGGGGGGGGGGAGGGTCCTTATTATAGTTATAGTACATAATATACCCCATAACCCTACTCTAGTTATTAAGGCCCCTATAGTGGATTGCGGGGGGGCGCTTGTGCAGAGTTTCCGGCCAGGCAGTTGCAAGAGGTTCTCCACGCCTACGACGAGAAAAAGCAGAGCAGCTTCGCCTTAGCTGGACTTGATCTACTCGGAGCATGTCAGCTGGAGGCTACTGTCACCTTCGCGTATCCAAGCCGCATCTTATCACATGCAAGATGCCGTTAGCACCTTGTCCCTGTCACGAGCCTGGATGCTCGCGACCCGTCTTCGTAAATCTAAAGAGACAGTCACAAGTGCCGTGCAGCTCAGGGAAGACACGGTTCTTCAAAGCCTCGTGGGCACTCTCACAGTGATCACTTTTTCGTCGGCAGCGCATCTTAGCAGCACTGGATTCCTTGTTTTACGCTGCAGAGATTGTATGGCTTTTCCATGGGTTCGAGGTGCTGCTTGCATCGGGGGTTGTATCTCGAGAGCATCTGCAAGTGCTGCAGTATGTGCATCACATGAACCTTCCAAAGCTCTTGAAGAACGATGCGCTGCCAAGGAAGCTCACAGAGCGAAATTTGGCAATGCTGCCAAGCGGCGCAACACTGAATGGGCGGCGCTTCCCGGCTTGGAATACACGCTTGGGTTCAGAACTTATGTATTAGATTGCACTGTGCTATCTTGTGATATCTCGTAGACAGAGAATGTATGATTGTACAGCAGTATATAATTGCATGTCCAAGTATGTCATATGACACCATATTGCATTACATTTTTTAATTATAGTACACTGTATTTGTCTGTATCATGGTTCGCTATGCCACATTAAGTTATATCATGATGCATCACACCATGTTTATACTGGTATATTAGTTTACACTGTATATTAGTTTACACTGTGATATCGTACTTACTATACTATGTTATATCATAGTATAGTATACTGTACTTTATTATAACATCTCGAGTGTACCATATTCTATCATTGCCAAGAGTGCTCTGCATACGTTTATCTTATAATCTATCCATCTATCTATCTGTCTGTATATATATATATATGTATGTGTATATATATATATATATATGAAGTGGTCTCATCGCCACCAACACGACAAGCACTGCTTCTCCAAAGCTGGTCTATGCTGGCCTCGCATCGCTACCAGCAGCTCCGATACTGTATCACAAGCCGTCGTACCCATCTTGATCGTCAGCACCACATCAACACCCATGCCAGATGTGACAGATACGATAAGCCTAGTAATCCTGGCATGCATCAGCGTCCTTAAACATCATCATAGTAGTTGCACTGGTGCGGAGTACATGCGCGTGGTTCCGCTTCGAACAGCTTTTCTTGTTTCCGGGGCAGCTTCGCGGCCCGGGTTCGGGGTTAAGAATTTAGTTCTTTTTGTTTATGAAATCTGCAATGTATGGTAGAATATCGTATATACTGTTACAGGTCCATAATTGAGATGGCCGTGTGTAGTGACCTAACATGTACTTGGAACCGGGCTTGCGCCGGGACCTCTAGGACGTTTTGGTGAAAGTCGGTCAGTGCCAGCATCCGAAGACTGGTTTGACTGTTTCACTGACATCCTAATTGCTAGCTTGTGTTGCGACGCAAACTTGCCATCGCCTTGATAAGGCCCGGCTTGCTTGGCTAACACCGATTTTTGTGACATTCCCACATGGATGCGTCTTGTGCATTTTGGACTTGTTCTGCTTTCGCGCACGGACGCTGAAGTTTATCCTGGTCTCGGCATTGCGCATGATGGACGTTGTCACGGCGCGGGCTTGGATGCTCTAAGCGACGGATACACTTCTCGGCATGGTTTCGTGTCCGCGCTATGTCGCCACCGCTGTACTTCCTGTCCAACGGCCTTGGAGAGAAGCTGGAAATCCGCCGCCTCCTGGACGGTCTCATGCTGACTGCTTTCGACGCATGTTTCACAGCGTCAGTCACAATAGCCGCACCAGAAGGTCCTGTCGCAAAAAGATGATAAGAAGATGTTAGATTTCGCGCTACACGGGTCTGTGTGGTCTTGTGTGTGTGTGTGTGTGTGTGTGTGTGTGTGCGCGGGTGTGCGCGGGTGTGCGTGTGCGTGCTATGAATCCCTATAATGTCCTAAAGCCCTCGACCGACCCGAAGCGCGCAAAACTTCAACGTTGTACTTCCCAGGAAGTCGCAGCAAGGGCTCTCGTGCGAGCTCGCGGGGTTCCCGGGGCTCCGGCAAAAGCCAGCCGCTCGTGACCACCGCTCAGAGTGCCGCAGCATGGAACTGATGTGTTCGTGTGTACTGGTAACTGGTACCTTACCTATTGTGGTTGACTGGCTGAGATTTAGGTTCCCTACCTAGTCTGGCCGCACGGGTATTTGCCACTAGCATTCCGCTTGCCCTTGCTGTGCCCGGGGCTATATGAGTCGGCCTCGGTGTTGCTGCTGCTACCGGTGCTGTTGCTGGTGTTGGTACGTGTGCTGGTTGGCACTGTTGCTGGCTTTGGTTGCTGCGACAGTGAATGTTGCTGCCGATGGTGGTGGTGGGGGTGGTGATGGTGGTGGTGGTCGTCGTCGTCGCTGTTGTTGCCATGATTTTTACCTGTTCTTGGCCTCCGTGCAGCTGCTGCTGCTGCTGCTATTGCTTCTCCACCTGCTACTTCCTGAATCCCAATGACCGGTATGCAGTACGTATAGTTTTGCATCATGAGCTGCGCATGTTATGCAGGCCTTGAGTCGGCGTAAGGTTCCAAGGAGCGCCGGATAAACGCATGGTCGCATCAAAGGCCTGAAAGTTTCCCGTGCGATTACATCTAAGATGTGAGCGAATTCCCTCTCGAGGCGTGCTTCGGTCGCATGCTCCGTACATAGCTGCACAGCCAAGGTAAGCAGGGAAGCATTCTCGCACTACGTTCCCCGATGATGTCTTTGTGAGTGTTTCACAATGCCTATGCTTTGGTAGGTAGGGAGGCACCTGTCACAGAAGTTGTCAGCGTGTGCTCAACCGGGCTGGTCCTGCGATTTTCAAGGCTCTTGTTGTAAAGCTTTCTGTCTGCCGTCACTGACACCTTTTCAATGTGTCGAGCCGGTGGGGGGCTGTGCTTGTTTGCGGCTGGCTCCGGCAGTGCAGCTACCTCTGAAAAGGTTCCTGCACAGCAGCTGCTTGTGTAGTGTCAAATGATTCTGAAGGCAGTGCGACGCAGCATACCTCAACATGTCACAGGTCTGTTGATATGGCCTTGTCTGGGGCTGAGCCAGACTTAGAGTTCGAGCACCAAGGAAACAGAAGAGCTTCGAGTGTAGATCTCAACGACGGGAACAACTGTTCTTCCAAGACTATAGGGGCCTCAATAATTACCTATACTAGTTTTTGGTGGGGTCCTTATTACAAGTCTACTATAATATACCCAAAACCCTATTCTAATTTCTTAGGCCCCTATATTAGTCCCTTTCTCGTATGCGTGTCTCCTGCTGAGCCTTGACGCATGCCCATACAAATCATTCCCAAGGAGCAACTGGACAAAAGCAATGGTGCATGATGACAGTCTATGCAGAGATGTGCAGAGTAAGCATACTTCAGTGCGTCATTTTGGCTTTGTGCAGGTTGTCGCTCCATGCTATCGATGTTCATCGTAAGTGCATCATCCGTTTAATATATATATATATATATAATATATATATATGTATGCATATTCATATATTGATACTTGTGTATGCATATCTGCTTATATGTGTATACAGATATGTACATATAGCATACATATATATATATATATATATATATATAGGTAGATAGACAGATAGATAGATAGATATGTATATATATATATGTATGTATGTATGTATGTATGTATGTATGTATGTATGTACACCTGCACACACCCACACACGAGCGTGCGTTGAGTGTTGTACGCTTGTACGACATTCCACGTTAGTCGCTGTGCTATGTCTGCATTATCTATAGTGACTTTCATGTCTTCAGCACTGTCGCCCACTGCATGAGGTCCTCATTGCACTGTCATATCTTGTGTTTGGGCAACTGTGGTTGTAAAAACCCACAGCAGGCCGATGTCACAGCAGCATAGCAGCCGCAACACCATTGGCAGCATTTGCTCAAAGTTAACCAGCTGCGCCGTGAATCTCAAACGCTACAGCGCAAAGCAGAAAGCCCTGAGAGGTGATCCGGGCATGCTGACGGGTCCTCAAGACTTGATCTATGATCCAGTCAGGGCCTCGTCTGTCGGGATGTGTGGGAAGCTGCTGCCCGTTGGCAGACGATCACATAAACTCGACATAATGCCCAGACCAGCAACGGCGAAACCATATCTGCAGAGCTCAACAGTACAAACCGGCGATTCGCACGACCAGATTTGACGCAACACTTGCTCAACGTCTCGGGAGTGTTGGGGACGATTCGTAGCAAGACGTGGCATCCGTTTACATGTTTAAGCATTACGGGATGATCGCAGCCTGAGAACTAAGCCGTACATCTGCCTGTCAAAACAACAGTACTTTTTTTAGTTCGTAAGAAAAAGGCATAATAATAGCAATGCTGGCGACACTGAGGTGAAAGGCTTTCCATCCAGTTGCGGAGTTGACTCCCCGGAGGCCAGGCCAGGGGCTCCCAGTTGGTTTCGGACAGCCGCAACTCCGAAATGTAGGGGTGAAGTCTGAAGCTTGTACTGCTTAAAGTGAGAGCGTCAAGGATTTTGGAGACCTTTGAGAATCCAGATGGACACAGCGCACAAATGTGGTTCTAGAACTCCCTCGAGCCGGAACTCTCTCGCAGCAAGCCCTATTGTAGCCGGGTTGGCAAGCTGATATAGTGATATAGCTATGGTATAGTAGGCTAACGAAAACACAGCACAGTGTGTGTCTTGCGAAAGTAGCAGAGATGAAACATGCTTGGCGAAAGGGAGATTGAGCTCAAGAGCTCTGTGGAAGGGCTGCAGAATAAGACGGAGAGAGGAAAGCTCCGCCTCTCAAACCTTGCAAGAAAATGCAAAAGGCTCCAAGAGCAAACAACAGCGGCTCTGAGACGTCCTGTATATGTCCATGGACCCTCGTAAAGGAGCCTCAACCCAGAACCATCTGCACATCTGAGCATCTAGGCCTTCGATGAGATGGTGCAGGGCACCGGAAAATTCGGCCACACTGCGCCAGAACCTCGGTCTGGGTGCATGTCGAGACTTTGACCGCGAGGGCTAATATGTATCTAGGTTCTAGAGATGGCTTCGTGATATAGCTGGATGCAGACACAGTCCAGGCATGGTTTCAGGTCGTTTTTGTTTCTTGTACAGACCATAGACTTGGTGATTTTTTTGGTGCACAGTACGGTTTTGTTGTTACATACATGGGTTGCGGTAGTACAACAGAATCTGTTATAATCTACCATAGCCTTACGTTGGGGCAGGTTGCAGAGCTTGTGCATCTTTGACTTACGACATTTTATTACGTGGCAGGTGGCTTTCTCTCTCAGGTTTCAAACTACATTATATCGTAATTCCGTTTAACTTTGGAATCAGGTTGCATCTTGCTTTCGTTGTTATTCTACCTTCGTTCAACAAGATCCGCTGTACTGCATCACACCACACTACATGTACATGTCATTATTCATGTTTTACCCAACTATATCATACTATAGGCCAGTACACCGTCTGTGTTCGCAGATCGTATTGCTAAAACACAATAAGCTTTGTATGAGTGCTATGTGGGTACCACATGTCGCACAGTGCTGCTGGATCGAGTTAGGTGACAGCATATGGACTTGTCAAAGCCGCAGTTGCATACAACACATGTAGTTGTATGGCTCGTATATATATATATATATGTATATATATATATATGTATACACATGACTATAACAATCCCGTATACATGGATATCCAAAATCAAACAGTACTAGCAGCAACAAATAAGACGAATAATCATATATATATATATATATATGTATACGTACATGTGTGTTCACAAATGTATACTTCACATCTGTAGTCAGCACTGGGCCCAGCGTATATACCCAGGCTGGCAGGGTTTGTTTCAGCAAGTTAGAGCAATGGGTGCTTGGTCTACACTTCGCATTGGCCGCATCAGTGATGATTGTCGTAGCCGGCACCACATTTAAGAGCTTGCAGGCCGGGCCTCTACGTGGTGAACAACGATTTCGCTGCGGCAGAGCGGTCTCGGGGCCATCAGTTCAATCAGTCGTTGAGACAGAGAACTACTAGCGGGTGACAGATCCGGTGTACGCCATGCATGGCGTGTCGTAGGCGGCAGCGGGGCTGACGGTAAGCCACATGACAGATGCTCGGTGTCAGTCATCGTGACTATTGCCCGCATGGTTAAGGCGGTATGTAACTGTGAGCAAGTAGCAGGTCAGTTCCGGGCCCCGCAGTGTTTTTCAATGCTGCAGCGTCGTAGCTACAAGTGCAAGATACAGAAGATATCAGAAGAAATGATGCTACCTTGGGAGTTCTGCTATTTAGACTGTGACTTGTGTGCGATAGGTCTGATACTACTACTGTAGAGCATGAGCTTTCCAAGGCACATAACATTCCACTGTGCAAGAACTGAAGATTCTTCAACCCTCGTAATGTCGTAGCAGTATGCCATTCTGCATTACCTTTTTCAAGAAGGCTGCATTAGCTTGCCAGTGCAGTTAGTCATAGCTCATCAGCTGCATGCTGTAAATCAGTATACATACGCTGCTTTTGCGGAGGACAGGTGGCGCTTGGACGACATTCACGTTTGCATTGTCGCTGTTAATTACTGCCATTGCGTGGTTTGAGTTCAGCAGGCTTTCTGGTGCATCGCCAACAACTATATACACCATTTCTAAAGCTGATCTGTCCTGTTGTTGTCTTGTGTTGTAGATGCATGTTCGAAGGCCCTTGAGGCTCCGGCCTTGAACCTCAGAGCAAAGCTCCCAAGGCCCAAGGCCCAAAGCCCTGCACTCTCCCTCCTCCCTGAAGCCTTGCAGAACACTACTTGGAGGTTCATGTAACAAGAAAGGTTATAAGTAGGGCAACTTTACTTATAACCCATACTAGGAGACTTATAATTACCCCTACTTATAACTACCCATGTGATGGCAACTCGAGGTCTGCCTGGCACGGCCCCTGGGCGGAGCAGTCTTTGCTGGCTGCAGAGCGACTCTTGGCCAAGGCCTTTCCTAAAATGCTCGTAGGTGGGAACCTTCAAAGTCTGCACTTCTTCGTGGAGAGTGGGTTTAAAGGGTCTGTGGTTCTGGGCTCCAGGCTTCGGGTACTTGGAATCGTTCTGTGTAGTCTGAAGCCCCGCAGCTTCTTGGTCAGGCTTTCCAGCTTCAGCGTCCTGCTGGATCCTCAGATCCGAACCACCTCCGACATCGCAGCGAAAGCTATTTGCAGCATGATGCGCAATGTGTATCTGCTGAGATGTTCACGCCAGGAGTGGCTGAATGAGACGTACTACAAGCGTCACATCGGCGGTTCGCATCAAGGCTGTGCCATGACGTAAACCTTCTGCCGAGTTTGCTCTCCGGTGATGCTGCATAGTGACAATGTAGTGAGGCTTTACCCACGTCTATCCCGTTCCGGGCATCTCAGCAATGCTGCTTTCATTGGACACGTCAATGCAAGCCAAACGCAGCCAAATACCAAAAAATACAAGTATTCCGTGCCTTGAGTTCCGATATTCATCGATGAGTCTCTACTCTGCCAGGTTCGGGTGTCGGGAGCTATGTGTGACGACGAGAAGGTGCCGGGAGGACAGATGGCTGATGATGCAATCTCGACAGGCTTCAAGGATTCCGTGGCGGGTTCTTCTTCCGGCTGAAGTGAAAGTCGAGAGTTTTGTCAACGAGACACGGAACGACATCCCATCCTCTCGAACCCAAGACGCCTCCACGCTTCCTGTCAGTACTCTGCAGGATGTGATGCCGCGGCCGTGTGAGCCCGTGAGCGATGCCCCATCCTGCGAGCCGAGAAAATGTCGTATCTCCGCTGCCTGCAGAGAGCCTCCGCAGGAAGTAATGGAGGATGAAAGTGACCCGCATGGCCGAAAATCAGAGGCCCTCAAAACAAGATATACCTGTCGGCTCTTCCACATGCAGGCAGCCCAGAGAGTGGCCGTGCCTGACATGCCAGCAACACCCGAGGCGGGGTGGGCTTCTGCCCCAGCTACCATTTTCAGGATGTTGAAGCGCTTGGTTTCCGATTGGCTTGCTTTGAGCCCGATATGGGACGTACCTGTGAGGCGCAGAATCGCAAGGTGTTCGTATCATCTTTGGTCGAAGAATCCCTGCATTCAGGGCTTGTCGTGACATGTCTGCAGGGCTTGCCGGCTGCTGTAGAAGACCGGCTATATCAGAGCATGATGAGCCGCGACCTGAGCGGAATTTGAAACCGATTTGTCGAATCCGGCCCGAGCTCTGGAGTTGGTGAAGCTCAGGCTCTGTGGATCAAGCATACCACGACGTTCCACTCTTCCTCCACTGCCTCACCGAGCAGGCAGTGTGGCAGCACTGACTGCCGCAGACGCATACTTAGCCTCTGCTTACCACGGACATTGCACGATGCTGACACTCCAGCGCTGGCATAATCATCTTAACATGTCGACTCCTGCAGAGTCTGCAGAGTATGTGCGAGCTTCTACCATGAAACCCTAAATCCGGGGTGTAGGGTTGAACATAGAAGAGTCCTTCATGTCCCCTGCCCGGGGTCATCTTGCATGTACTGAGCCCTGGAGTCTCGCAGGTTGAGAGAACGCTCGGTGGCGATGCTCAGCAGAAGGAGGCCCTACTTCAGCCATGTGGAAGTTCGGCGCGTGATTTATGACAACGATTCTTGAAAGCTCGCTGCAGAACCCCGCCGAAGAATCATCACACATGCCTTAGTGGCAAAGCCCTCTTTGGACTCTTTGCGCGACAGGATGAGATCGCACTGTCGGGTCTCGAGGACCGTGGAAATCCAGAAGCATCGAAATCCCGACGTTAAGGTAGGTTCCATAAACATCATCAGTTGCGAATAAGATTCTACTCAATTTACTGTTCTTGTTTGGTTACTGTCTACCGAGCGTTTGTTCTCCCACATTGCACCGCACGGCCCCCTTGAGTTCAGCCTCCAGAATAGTTCTGCAAACCATTGCAAACCCTAATTACAAAATCCGCCAAGCCAGACATCGTAAAGTTCCTGCAGCACCATTGCAGGAGTACTTGTCTGCGGCGTTTGACGACGCAATTTGTCAGGGCTCCGCGCCGGGCAGGCCGCGAAGCAGTTAGGGAAATCCCAAGGTTGTGGCTCTTGTGATTGAAGCCACTTGATGAGTTCAGTTACTTCTGAGGTCTGAGCAGATACAACGGGACGTGTGAAGTTGCAATGACTTACAGGCTTAAATGAGATGTCGAAACCTGGATTTCGCAGATCGGGATGCCACCAAGCTCGGGCTTCAGAAGGGACCTGAGAAAGCGCTCTACTCCAAAGGTCATGGGACGTACTGAATAGAATGTTGCTACAGCTGCAAGCCAGCAGTGGGTTAAGCCAATTCGACGACCTACGAAACCTGCTTTGACTATGCATGACTCCTGAAGGCACGTGCCTTAGAACCACATGGTGCTCATTTTAATGTTTAGCAGCAAGAGTATATATTGAATCCAGTACTTTGCAATCCAGTCATACGTCATAAGGGTAACATACCTTCACAATTA